TTTTTATTGTGTAAGAATCTTCTTGCTCCTAAGTACAGTAAGTCTTTCCATTTGCTCAATTCTTTTTTTGTATTCATTTTTTCCTTTATTGCCATCACATACTGGCACACTTGCTTCACTGTTGTTAAATTGCTAACTATACTGTCATCATTTCTATGAATGTTCTTCTATGTATGGACGTATTTATATATTATTTTATAAAATATTAATTTATTGGCACTTTGTATTTGAAGTTTTTAGGAGATTCATGATTTCCCTCGGTATGAATGTTATGCAAATAATTTTTATTTGTTTCCTTTTGTACTTAATTGACTAATCACCTCTCATATATGCTTGATTAACAGTTGTGGTGGATCATGCATATTCTCTAGTGTTTCCTTATTAACTGTGTTGCTGCCTTTCACAACAAAGTATATATCACCACTGAACTGACACAGCTCATAAAACTGAGGAAATCTGGTTTCATAATATACTCTTAATTAAAGAGTTATTCTGCCTAAAGGAATTTCAATATGGCATCTGATACCATAACTTTCTACCATCAGAAATAGGAAGAAAAAAAAAAAAGAAAGAAAGAAAACAAGACCCAGGCCAGCACGCTAATAGTAGTAGTTAAGCACTGTGCACTGGGAGTTTCATCCCATGTACCAAACTGCAGTATGAATTCCATTCTTTGTGGCTTGGAAAATCACTTGTGGCATGTGTGCATATGTGCCCAAGCACCTGACAGGATGGAGAAATGTGGGGAAAAAGGACTATGATATATGTGACCATGCCACTGGTGCTTAACTCTCTCTGTGCTGCGCTAATGTACTGTCTAACAATTTAAAGAAAATAAAAGAGGAGGACCCAGCAGGTGGCACAGTGGTTATGGTGCTGGACTCCCACATGACCAACCACAATTCACATCCCAGACCTGGGGGCATACTTTCTCACTTTTCCTTTCTCTCTCTCTCTGGTCAAATTAAAAAGTAACAACAACAAATAAAATAATTCTGTAAAAAAAAATACAGAAAAGAGGGAAAAACTACCCCAAATATCTAACTTCTATCACATGGCTATATAGAGCAAAAGGCAGTAAGAATCTGGACATCCTGGGGGCTGCAGGTGGCGTAGGGTTAAGGGCACTAGACTCTCACATGGCCATTCAAGTCCTAGACCTAGCAACTAGTTTTCTCACTTCCGCTCCCTCCCTCTCTCTCTCTCTCTCTCTCTCTCTCTCTGTCCTTCTCTGAATAAATTAAAATAAATAAATAAAAGTTAAAAAGTTTAAAAAAAAAATAATAATCTGGACATCTGAATGTTTAAATCTGGTGTACTAAAGAGAGTTTAGGAATATCAACATATACTGCATCAAATTGTGAGATTTAGGGACCAGCAGTGAGCGTAATGGCTATGTAGCTGAACTCCCATGTACTTGACCATGGTTCGAGGCCCAGACCCAGTGGCTTAAACTCACACCGGACGCATGTACATACGTGTCTTTCTGGCAATCTCATGCGCCCTACAGCAAAAACCTCTCCAAAAAAAGAAGTGTGAGATTTACACTTAAGCAGTTAAGACTACTAGATCTTGGATCAGTCTATGGTTGAGCCCTTTGTATAGGGAGCTGGATCCTACATGACCAACTGAGGCCCAAATCCAACCCCAGGGGCTTGAGAAATGGGCTGGGTACATGTGCAGATGTGTCCAAAATCCTGACGAGATGGAGAAATGGAGACAAGAGATTGCACCTGAGCACCCTGAACTGGGGCATGTTCTCTGTATCTCCCCCTCCGGCCAGCTTATGTGTTCTCTGGCAATTAAAAATAAATTACTGGGCCAGCAGGTGTCGCAGTGGTTAAAGCACGAGACTCCACATGGACAACTGCAGTTTGAGTCCAAGACCTGTTAACTTGCTTTCTCACTTTCCTCCTCCCCCTCTCTCTCTCTCTCTCTCTCTCTCTCTCTCTCTCTCTCTCTCTCTCTCTCTCTCTCTCTCTCTCTCTCTCTCTCTCTCTCTCTCTCTCTCTCTCTCTCTCTGATGAAAACACATGCCCCAAAACAAAAGTTCAAATAATAATAATGACAATAAATAAAATATTTTAATTATTTCTTCATTTAATTTTCTTTTTATTATTATTTATTTTTATTTGACCTGGGGGGAGATTGAGAAAACAAGTCCAGGACTTGAACTACAGTTGGCCATGTGGGAGTCTAGCACTACACCACCTGCTGGTCCCTAAAATAAATAATTTTCTTAAAAAGATAACTAGACCTAGGGGCCGGCAGGTGGCATGGTAGCTAGGGTACTGGACTCTCATATGGCCAACTACTGTTAGAGTCCCAGACCTGGTGGCTTGCTTTCTCACTTTCCCTCTCTCTCTCTCTGGTCAAATTAAAGAAGAATAATGATAATAAAAAATAAATAAATAAAATAAATAATTCTTTAAAAAAACTAAACCAATAAAAATGGTATTACCCCTGGGGACCAGCAATAGTGGCACACAGATAGTCTCACCAAACCACTGATTTCATTTATTCCCCTGCCAACCTAAACATACTGGGTGTGGACGTGTGTACCCATAAACCCAGCTAATGGAGGGACTGGGGCGGGGGGATCAAGCCATAGCAGATATACCTATTGCTGGGGCCAAATGGTGGTACAGCTGTAAAATATGACACTGTGACGCAGAACCACAGAAGAAAGTTGCCAGTCCATGTCCAGAGCCCTCCTTGAGTACGCTGGACATGTGTGACCAGGATCCGGGCTGCTTGAGGCTGGGAATGAGTCACAGCATTCCCAGCCAAAGGTACTATACCTCTGTGTGTGTGTCTCCGGCTCATGTAATAAACTTAAAAATTAAAAACGTCTATCACTTACCCTTCCCTACCCTACAAAGGGAAAAACACACTATTAACTTTATGCAACAGTTTTCTTAAATCTTTTGGACACTGACTCTTAGTTTCTTGTAGTATTGCTAGGTAAGAATTTTAATATCAACTAGACACTAAAATTGAAAAATAATAAAAACAGTGTAATATAAATTCAAAATTATCACTTTATATCAAGAGATGTTTCTTATGCTGGCAATTGTAGAAGTGCTGCCAACTTCCCAAGGGCTGACATATTATATCCACTCCTATGACAGGTTGGTTGGTTTACACATTTATTTCTCAGTAGAAAGCTACTTTCTCTGAGAAACTATACAGAAGGACAGATGAAAAATGTATCCAGAATGAAAGCGGTGAGGCTAGGGATCCTGTTAAGAAAGGATTCCCAGGAACCTTATTCCTAACTGGGCGGTGAACTTCAGGGGAATGACTGGCCAGTCTTGAGCCACCTTCTATCACAATGCTTTTCAAAGCCCAACTGCCCTGTGGCCTCTCATGGCCTGCAACTTGACTGTCATGTTTCCATTCAACTATCTCATCTTGGCTTGGTGCCACTTGCCTAACCTTTGATGGGGTTTCTGCCAACCAGCATGATTCTAAAGCCAGTGGGTCTGAACTCATACTGCACAATCAGCCAGGTGCCTTAACCACCAGCCCCCAGGCTGGCCCTAGAAAGAGAATTTTAATAGGTGACAACTTTAAAAAATGATCAAGTATATATAAGATATCATTCACTTTTTTTGTTGTTGTTTAAGAATTCTTTTATTTAACTTTATTTATTTTTTTATTGACCAGAGAGGGACAGAATGAGATATAGAGAGAGGGAAAATGAGAAAGCAAGTCACCAGGTCTGGCACAGTCAGTCATGTGGGAGTCCAGCACCCTTAACCACCAAGCCACCTGCTAGCCCCTAAGATATCATTCTTAACAGAAAACACAATACACTGAATTAAATGATCAACAACTTAAATAACAAAGAATAAGCAGAATTAATAGACTCTCATGAGCAACTACTCTCAAAGTATCAGCATAAAAGTAAATGACAGTAAGAAATGTGTAATACTTGAAGATTCAAACAGTACTTAAAAACAGGGGATGGGGGCAGTAGTTAGTGTAATTGCTATGTCGCTGGACTCCCATGTAGTCGACCATGGTTTGAGTCCTGGACCCAGTGGCTTCAACTCCCACCCGGCGCGTGTGCATGCGTGCCCAAGATCCCAAGAGGAGAATGGAGAAGGGATTGTGGCATGGCCATTCCCCCTGGGGGGTGATTTCTCGGTTTCTGTCTCTCTCTGTCTTTTGGTCGAACGCACACGCCCAATAGCAAAAACCTCTTAAAAAAAAAAAAAAAAACAGGGAGGTGGGACCAGTAGATGGCATAGTGGTTACATTGCTGGACTTCCACATATCGATGGTTCAAGTCCCAGACCTGGCAGCTTAAAACACGCCAGGCATGTGTACATACATGCCTAAAATCCCAAGAGGAAAAGGGATTGTGGCATGGCCATCATTCCGGGGGGGTGGGGGGATGATTTCTCACTTTCTGTCTCTCTGGTGAGCGCCTGCATCCTATAGCAAAAACCTCTCTTATAAAAAGGGGGGAGGGGGGTGGAGACCAGCAGGTGGCATAGTTGTTAAGGCACTGGATACTCCCACATGGCTAATCACAGTTCAAGTCCTGGACCTGGTAGCTTGCTTTTTTCACTTTCTCCCCCTCTCTCTGGTCAAATTAAAGTGAATGAATCAATCAATAAAATCAAATAAATAGTTCTTAAACACACACACACACACACACACACACACACACACAGGGAGGGAAGCCTTGACCCTTACAGCGTTTAATCCAAAGCAGAAGCTCTCTCTTCTGCAAACAGTCAACAATGTGAATTGTCAATATAAAGGAATTTGTTTCTTTAGGAAAAACGAAAACCCTAACTAAAGTTTTTAAGTTAGCAAATAAGTTGCTCAAAGAAAAGGTTGTTTTAAAAGCATTTCCTTAGCGCATCTAATACTACTTTATTTATTTATGTATTATTTTTAACAGACAACTCTTTGTCTGGAAGGAAGATATTCACACAGCAAAACTATTTTATTTTTTGAAGAAGAAATTTAGGGGGGAAAAGTACCTGAAAATGGCTGGGTTGCAGACATGCTTTGGATCCAGTGCTTCTCCCTGTATGAATTCATAGCACAGTCCATTATTGAAGGTACAGTAGAGTTGGGGTGCACAGCCATGAGCCTGCAACACTCGAAAACTCTTCACTTCCTCATCTCGATCCACTAACAACTCAGTCTTATTGCCATAAATTCTCACGAGGACCACATCCTCCATGGTACTACCCACGTAACATCCAATAAGTTTGTTTGTGATTCCATCTGTGAAGAGCTGCCAGGAAAAGAAAAAAAATGAGAGAAAAAAATTATACATTTTTAAGGCATGGAATAGGAAATAACTTTAAAATAATAAGCATTTAAAAATGCCTATTTCTTAACATAAATAAAACCTTAGTGTAGGATACGGCCAGATCTGAGCAACACAAGAGCGACCTTTAGACAAGCAGAGATACAATCCTTGTGCTGATGCTGCAAGGCTAGTGAAAGCTCTAACAAGGATACGATCTGTTTCTCCTTTATTTTGCACTGCATGGCAGGGTACATTAAAGGAAGCTGTGTGTCAGCTAGAGAAGGCCAGGGAAGGCTTGTTTAGAACCATGGGGATGCAAGATGCTCCACAGCTGTTGTTGATAATAGAAAACACCTGGCTTTTCTTTTCTTAATTATTATTCATTCATTTATTTTAATTTGATGAGAGAGAGAAAGTGAGAAAGCAAGCCACTAGTTCCCAGACTTGAACCGTGACCTTCCATGTAGGAGTGCCCAGCACCTTAACCACCATGCCACCAGCTGGGTCCTTTTTTTTTTTTTAATTATTTATTCATTAATTTATTTTAATTTGACAAGAAAGAAAGGAAGAAAGCAGAAAACACCTGGTTTTACCTTTCACTTACAGTCTGCCTTGTCCTACAATCATTTTATGTATTTACATGTGTACAATCCCTTCTCCAGTCTACAAATTGAAAAGTCTCTAAGGACAGGAATACTGCCCTCTTCCTAGTATAATACAACATACATGAATTGTCATTATTAAACATTGCTTAATAAGTTCATAGGTTTGTTTCTTATTGCGAGAGGATGCATGCACTCACCAGAAAGACGGAAAGAGGGAGGGAAAGGGACAAACTAGCCCCAGTGGGGTGTGGTCACACCACAATCTCTTTTCCTCCATTTCTCCACCCTGTCAGGATTGTGGACACTCACATGCATACCTGGCTTATTTCTCCTATTCTTTAAACTATTTTTAATAATTTTAATATTATCATTATTATTATTATTATTTAATTTGCTATAGGGTGTATGCGCTCACCAGAGACAGAGAAAGAAAAAGAAAAAAAGAGAGAAAGCAAGCTGCCATGTCTGGGATTTGATCTGCAGTTGGCCATGTGGGAGGGAATCCAGCACTTTAACCACCCCACCACACCATCTGCTGGACTGTATGCCTTGCATATTTTTCAAAACAGGGACAGGGCTTAAACTACATGGTCAGTCATGTGGGAGCCAATCCCCTTAACCACTAAGCCACTAGGCTAGCCTTCACAAGTTTAAATAAATAAAAGCTAACATAAGTTACATTTGGTAAATGTCCAACTTACAAGAAACTTTTTTTTTTTTAATTTTTGCTATAGGGTACATGTGCTCACCAGAGAAAGAGAGACAGAGAAAGAGAAGGTGAGAAATCACCCCCTCCACACACACCCAGGGCAGATGGTCATGCCACAGTCCCCTCTCCTCTATTCTTAAGATTCTGAGCATGTATGCACACACACTAGCTTATTTCTGAAGTACCAAGCCTGGGACTCAAACCATGGAGCTGGTCATCCAACACCTTAATCAAGCACACCATATGCTGGCTCTCCCCAAAAATACTTAATTTTAAAGATTTAAAGATTATTTAACATAACATGCATTAAATATTGTTAAGTACTCAAGTTATAGTAGTTTAAACTTGAATGGCACAGCTATCAATAAAAAGAGAAGGGCAACCTTTAATTAGAGGACAATAAAGTGGTAGGCAGAGATTTCTGTGGTATTTTCTAAATGGGACATTTGGAATTTTTTTAAGAACTTTAAGTCAAGTACAGCAAATCCTTTTATAGATCTGAGAAAACATTTAAAAACAAGCAGGTGATTAACAATACTATTAATAGTTCATGAAGTCCATCCAAAAATTTTAACTTTCATTTTCCTCTAGTCTAATTTGAGAGTAGAATTAGCTCTATTTACCCAATAATAATACAGAACTTTTGGAGGTACTCAAGGAAAATAAAAGGAGAAAAGAAAAAGTGAAATAGGTATGCATAGGTATACAAATATTGCTTTCTACTTAGATTTACAAAAGAGTATATGAAAGACACTGCCAAGAAGTATATGCACATAAAAAATGTCAGTCACGGGACCCAGCAGTTGACATAATGGCTATGTTACTGGATTTCCATGTAGTCAACCGCAGTTCAATTCTTGGACCTGGTGGGAGGCGAAGGTGCATGCGTGCCCAAGATCCCGAGAGGAGAACAGAGGAGAGAGGATTGCAACGTGGCCATCACCCCTGGGGGGTAATTTCTCACTTCTGTCTCTCTGTCCCTCTGTCTTTCTGGTGAGCACATATGCCCTATAGCAAAATCCTCCTCCCCTCCCCCCCAAAAAAGTCAGTCACTGGAGCCAGCAGGTGGCATGGTGTTTAAGATGCTGGACTCTCATATAGCAGACAACAGTTCCAGTCCCAGATCTGGTGGCTTAAAAACCTCACTGAGTACACATGTATGCATGCTCAAAATCCCAAGAAGAGAATGGAGAAGGGCCTGCAGTATGGTCATTTCCCCTGCGGGGGGTGGGGGGGGTTGTCACTTTTCTCTGTCTCACATCAGCAAGTACAAATGCCCTATGGCAAAAACTTAAAAAGAAAAAAGAAAACGTCAATTATCATTTTATTAAAATCTGTGTTGAGGGGCCAGCAGGTGGCATGATGGTTAAGGGCACTGAACTTCCACATGGCTGACCACAGTTCCAGCTCAGCACAGTTCAAGCTCCGGACCTGGCGGCTTACTTTCTCACTTTCTCACTTACTTTCTCTTTCTCCCTCTCTCCTCCCTCCCCTAGGTCAAGTTAAATTTTTTAAAAGGTAAATAAAATAAGTCTTTAAAAAAAAAATCTGTGTTGATAAGCATATTGTTCCTTATTAAAAAGCTGTATCAGTTCACGCATTCTAGTATTCTGTAACTTCTTTGGATGTAAAAGTTTCAATAAAATATTGTAATTACTACCATAAACAATGACAAACTATTTAACACTCCAAAATTCTTAGAATGAATAGCACTCTATAGACTTCGGGATTCCAGGAATCATCATGTTCCTGTATCTTCAAAACAAACAGCAGCTACTTAATGTTTAAATACAAAATCTTACAGTTACCAGTATTAATAATATCTTCTTCATTGCCAGAGGATGCATGCACTTAACCAGAGAGACAGAGAGAAATGGAAAGGGAAAAATCAGCTTCTAATGGGGGGGGGGACCAGTCACATAACAACATTCCTCCTCCCCATTCACCATCCTTCTAGGATTTGGGGTGTACATATAACATGTGCTTGGTGTGTGTTTTTCAGGCAACTGGGTTCAGGATTCAAACCATACCATTGGTCATATGGGATCTGGCTCCCTTAATCACCAAGCCTCAGGAGAGCCCTTCTTCATCTAGTTTATAAAAATTGCAGTCTCTCATTCTTGCCTATAATAGTAAAATGCATTTCCTTATTAAACATGCAACACAAAAACATACATATAAATAAGTATGTACTTACAGAGCTAGAGGCAAGTCTTATTACTGAATACAGATTACTGCACACTATATAAATATTTATAAAGGTGACACAGGATCATAATCCCAATCACCCTAACCCTAACTTTCAGTATTGTGCAAAAGTCATATATGAAAATTAAATATCGAGTTGTCAGGAAAGTCATGATCGATTTTTTCTGTTTTTCTATACAAAAATGCATCATTTCTTTTTTGACAAGCCAATATGATAGCCAAAATAAATCTCCAGGATAAATAATGAAATACAGTGAGCCAGCATATGGCGTGGAGGATAAAGCGGCTGGATCCCACATAGCCAACTTGACATTTTGAGTCCTGGACCAGGCAGCCTAGAAGTCATGCCAGAAGTGTGTGCATGTGTGCCCAAAATTCCAAAAGACGAATAAAAAGTAATTACAGTGTGAAGGGGAAAAGTGATTTATCTTTCTCTCTCTCTCTCTCTCTCTCTCTCTCTCTCTCAGGCAAGCAAACATACCCTATAGGGTAAAAAAAGAAAAGAAATATAGGAATAAAATAGCTCCATATTGTAAAAAGTATTTTATGTATAAATAAGGATAAAAACTTCTACAAAGATGGTCAACAAAATACTAGGTGTTTTAAATCTTGTTTCTTATTTTGTTTCCAAGTAGTTTAAACTTTTTTCTTTTGGCTTATAATGTTTCCTTCCTTGTTTTTTTCTGCAATGAACCTGATTTACTTCCCAAGCAATTACAATAAAAAGGGTAACACAGCCCAACAGTCAGGCACTGACGTGGCATTCACAGCTAAGTCTTGAAGTCCTGCTGTTTTTTTTAGTTTCCCAGAATATCAACATCAGATGAGGCCACTCTGTGACCATACTGGATCAAGAAACAAACAAAACCACTCTGTAATCATGTCTTGAGTGTAAACAAAAACATGAACATTGCCCAAACTATAAATATTACTAAGCATCTCCCTATCCTGGCTAATATAAGTGACTGCTTGCTTCTTTCAAAGTTACAACTTTGACCCCGCTTCCCTCCTCCTGCCTTCCAGGTGAGCTTATGATAACCCTAAGTCATAAACTTGTGCCACTTGCTTCCAGAGAACACCAATCCAAAAAGAGGCCCTGCTACCTTGAACCTTCCCCCAAATCACTAGACAAACCCAAGTTATGTATTAAGTCCTTTCTAACACCTATATACTAATATAATATCCTCGCCATTCTCCCTACTGTAGTGAGTAATTAATACAACTTGTTTAGCTACCAGTATGCTTTTATTTGATCTTTAGAGAACAAAGATTTCAGTATAAAAACATATGGAAAATGCTTCTAGCCTTTGTGTAGCTCCCACCTCATATATAAACCACAACGTGCTGAACTATCCAAAACGTATTATTAAAATATACTAGACACAGGACCAGCAAATGGCATAATGTTACATCATTGGACTCTCATGTAGTCAACCGTGGTTTGAGTCCCAGACCCAGAG